AAAAAAAAAAAAAAAAGTTCAAGACCAACCTGACAAGAATGAGACCCCATCTCTACTAACAACAGAAAAACTAGCCAGGCATTGTAGTGTGCACCTGTAGTCCCAGCTACTCAGGAGGCTGAAGCAAGAGGATTGCTTGAGCCCAAGAGTTTGAGGTTGCTGTGAGCTGTGACTTTACGGCATTCTACCCAGTGTATGGAGTGAGAGACTCTGTCTCAAAAAAAAAAAAAAAAAAGAATTTGCATTTGTTCCTATTAAAATTCATATTGCTCAATTCAGTCCAATATTTAGTATGCCCAGGGTCTTAGAGATTCTGATCTTATCATTCTAGTATTTTTTACTGTTCTAACTTTATGACACTCCTAGTTAAGCATGCTATCAAAGTCCTTTCTCTTACATTGCCTTTCTTTGGATTTTTTTATACATTAAAAAAATCAGTCCTACAAACTGTTTTATGATCGTATGATTATATATACATAATTGTATACATGTGTCAAACTATATAGGCTCTTACACAAAAAAATAGTTAATTTTAATGCATGTGAATTATACCCCCCAAATCAATCACATTCTAAATACCCAGCTATATTCTTCTCTCAGATTATGTCTCACTAATTTATTTTGGCTATCAATTTCTGCAAAATGCCTTGCTATTCTAAGTAATACAGTTTTCACATATTTTATATTTTTATTCACTGAGGTCAATGAATTCTAAAGATTGATTCCTTGAAAAAGCAATAGTGTTTTTAGTTTACCAGTATAGCCAACTCAATGAATACATTATTTTTATTAGTTCCCATGACAAAAAAATACCAAAAAAAGTGATAGAATGTGGAATAAGGAAAAATTAATATTAGAAAAATTATAATCTTTCACAAAACTGGGTTAGAAATATTGAATATAACTTGTCAATCATGCCTAGGAGAGCAAGTCAGATAATTTCATACCTGTAAGTTTCCCAAGGGTTTTTCAAAATATTCTTCAGTGTTGGTGAAAGGTTAGAGAAACACAGTCTCAGCGTGAATGAAAAGTTTAAGCGATAAAACCTTCCTGGCCATTTGAAATTACCTAATAAGAACTTAAACGAATCCATTTGGAATTAAAATCTAAAAAATCTAGAAAAAATACGGCAAAATTTTAGCAGGCGCCAGCCATTTCTGACTGATGGAAGGCAGGCTATAGTTTATTTTACTTTGCTTTCTTTTATAGTTGGTATTTTTAAAATATTTTTTAAAATTTCTACAATGAGCCTATATTAGTTTTATGATTAGGAAAACAGCAATGCACACTTAATAAATATACCGGTTAAAGGGAGGGGAGGAAAACAAATCACAAAAGGAGGAAAGAAATGAGGATAAAATAATTTTTTATGAAGATGTATCTGTCACTAAGAATTCTCAAAATAAAACACGTTTTCTAGGTAGTCAATAATTTTACAAAGAAGTTTTATTCAGAGAAGAAAAAATATTTCCCTTGTGCAGTTTCTCAGAATGCCATACAACATTCTGATACACCACAACTTTAAAAGGGACACTCACATCATTGCTTTCAAACAACATTTTTCAAATGGAAAGCCTCATACGGAATTAATAAACACTGTAAATTCATACCTTGAAGAACGACGTTCTGGTTTATTTCGTTCGTTGCGATCTGTAAAGAAAGAAAAGAGTTACACATCAGAATTCTCCTGAAAAGCCCTAGGAAAGAAATTCTTAAATACCAGTTGCCATACCATTACATTTTACAAAGGACTGTTCAAAGGGAATCGCATCTTCCCCTGTATAAGGCGCTTCATCAACCCTAAGAGGACTTGCCTGACGGGGGAAAGAGAAAGGATACAAGGAAGGACGGGCATAAAAACTTTCTATGGTTTGTTAAAATCGCCTACTTGGAAAATATATCATTACATGTATTATCTCATTGCAAAAGATCTTTCCTCTGCTAAACACTTCACTAAAACCAAAACAGATTTAGCTAAGGAAAGAAAGCAAGGAAACTGAAAAGCCACAGATTACTCAGCTCAAAAAAATCATTCCATGAATCATGGTTGGCAGAAGCTTCGAACAGAATGGGGAGGGGGGTAAAATGAGCAGTCAGCTACAACATCTGCAAACACCAAGACCAGTGCAGCTTCATCCTTAACCATCTACCACCCAGAATATTTCAGAAGTTGGGTTTCAACATTCCAGTAATAACTAGATGGAATAGAGGACACATAAAAAAACTTTTCACTTGTCACAACTGGGGAGAAGGGAGCTCTCATGGGTAGAGACGCTGCTAAAGGTCCTACAAGGCACAGGGCACCCCCCACCCATAGACTTATTCTGCCCACATGTTAACAGTGCCGACATGTTGAAAAACCCTGTTACTGGGTTATCGGGTAAGGAGTAAGAGCACAGCAGCTTGAACTTTCAAAAGTGACTCTTTGGACTGCTATAAAATACTATTTATCAACCTTGAGACTAGCACACATGTACACAAGAGAAACCACCCCAAAAACCACAGGCTGTCTTTTTGCAATGTCACAATTCCTTTCCAGTCTATGCTTAAAAAGAAAAGAAAAATGAAGTACAAATCTTGAGTGTTATGGAAAAATTAACAATAGGAAGCAATATACAAACCACAAAATGGCCCTGTGCAATGACTTTAAAAAATACTGTGGAGTCTTATCAAAACAGTTCTCAATAGTTTCTTCCAAATTAATACTCATGAGACAGAAAAAGCAACGATTAAACAAGAATGCTTTATTTTTTCCTGATTTTATTTCTAGTGCAGCAGCATAAAGAAGATAATGAAAGCATACTCTAAAACTTCTACAAAGAAATACAGAAGAAAAGGAATAGGATGTATACAGTTAAATGTATATAATTCTTTCTAAGTGAGTTCATAATAAAAAACAAAAGCTTTTTGAAGCCAAAGACTTAGTACACATGAAGACACTATTCTCTGAAAGATTAATAATAGATTCACAGTAAAGCATGTTTGTTTGGATGTAATGCTCTCCAAACATAAAATGTCAATATGTTTCTGGTTCCCATTTCTCCATACTGTGACTTAGTGTTATTACAGCTTTTGAACTTTTCTGTTTTAATTTAACTGAGTTTTGCCCCACCCTTAAATAAAAATATCATGGTTTTCACTTGCTGAGTATTAACATTTTTAAGTCATAGTAATACAAGGTACATTCCTCACCAGCTTTTAGCCAGCTAGTTTTGCTAACAAAAGAAAAACCTGACATCTTAAAGTAAAGCTAGAAACTAAATACGGATCAACTAACCACACACAAGAAAGCAACAACTCTTACCTGTGGCTAAAGGTGAGCTAAAACTCTGTCCACATGTCATTCACTGTGGCCGGAATCCTGGTTTTGTTCAGTTTATTTAGGCATGTAAATAGCAAGGGGATGTAATAGCAAGCATCCCCACTAATCTTCCTAGTGGTACAATACTCAAGAGAAGGGGAGAAACAGAGTCATGATGCATGTAAACAAGACTCAGCATCCCCGGGCTTCCCTCCAGGGCCCGTTCTGATTGGCAGATGTGCTATGACCAGTCTGCACAGCTGGAATGTGGCCACTCAGGAAGCCAGTGGTTCACAGCTCTCCTTCATTAAAACAGGAAATTCTACCGTCTTCTTATACTTTCTGCTCTAAGAAAATACAAATCAAATGTCTTCCCACAGTACTTCTCTTATTGAATTGGTAATTAAAATCCAAGAAAATAGCTTGATTTTCTGTTTTAGGACCTTTTAAACAATCCTCTCCAGTTCAATCTTAAGTGTTACTTGTGTTACAGTCTCATGTAAATATGCATACATAGTGTTTATAGCAAGTCACTCCTAAGAACCCAGATAATTGAGTTATAATTTGAGGGTACAGATAATTACCCATTACTTATAATATTCCCCATTCTGTACCTCTTGACAATGGAAAACAAACTGAAACATGTATTCTTGGCTACATCTTTCCCCTCCAAGTATACAAATAATTGGATTTGACCTTTTGCCACAGAGCCATCTTTTAGCTTGAGTACATATAAATATGTATGAGGGTTGTGTATCTGTGTGTTTTACACATTTATACTTTTTTACATACTTAACATTTTAAATGAAGTAATTTTCATGATAGCCAAGATTATTATGTAATTGTCAAGAAATATGTTAGTGGAAATTCTAAATTTCTGGCAGAGTAGTAAGCGGTTATTATTTTGGTCCAAAATCCAGGACTGAACAAAACAAACTGCTGAGAGCAGATTCAGGATCAGCTTTCTTGCCAACAATAACAAAACATTTGGATAAAATCCCCTTAAGAATGAGAAAAGTTCTATAGCAAACATGGAAATTTCATTTTGGTTATATATGGTACTTTAAGTATATGGATTTTAATTATTTTAAATAGTCTTTATAGCTCAACTCCTCAATTTAATTAGCTTTTCTTTTATTCTTTTTTTTTTTTTTTTTTTTACATAGAGTTTTGCTTTGTTACCCAGTTAGAGTGTTGTGGCATTAGCCTAGCTCACAGCAACTTCAAACTCACAGACCAGCAGTTCTTAACCTGTGGGTTGCAACCCCTTTGTATCAATGAAAATACATCCTGAATATCAGATATTTACATTGCGATTCATAACAGTAGCAAAATTACAGTTATGAAGTAGCAAAGAAAATAATTTTATGGTTGGGGGTCACTACAATGTGAGGAACTGTATTAAAGGGTCATGGCATTAGGAAGGTTGAGAACCACTGTCGTAGACTTAAGCAATCCTCCTGCCTCAGCCTCCCAAGTAGCTGGGACTACAGGTACACAGCACAACACCCAGATAGTTTTTCTATTTTTAGTAGAGATGGGATCTCACTCTTGCTCAGGCTGGTCTCAAACTCCTGAGCTCAAGAGATCCTCCCACCTTGGCATCCCAAAGTACTGGGATTATAGGCATGAGCCACCATGCCTGGCCTAACATTTCTACTTTTTAAATACTTAGGAGAGAATATACTTATAAAGGCTTTCTGAACTTTTGCATATTTAGAAATAATATGAATAACTTATTAGTCCAAAGTCTCAGCATTTCTATGAAAAAAGTTATTAAAAATAAATGTCCTAACTCTAAAATGTATTTGAGCGCTAAACATTTGCTATGGATAATGTACTAATTGCAGGGAGCCATGCAACAGAGCATGATGGTATGGGTGAGAGTAAGCCTGGCTGAGTAATCATGTAAAAGTCTGTTAGTTTCGTATGTCTCTCTCTCTCTCATACACACACCCCCTACCTCTGGCATTCCCTGTCCCACTCATCCATGCCTTTTGGTTAATAAAGTTAATGGAGGAATGGAAGAATCCCCCCCAAGCAGAACAAAGGCTGTTGGTAGCTGTGCGTGTAAACATGGGGAGATGTGAGGGACGCGATGAAGGAACCTGTGGTACATCTGGGGATTGGAGAACAGTTAAGGGATCAGGAGGCTACTGTGAGTGGAGAACTCTGTGAGAACTCCAGACTACTCACATTTTCCTTTCGTGATTACTAGGTTTGAAGTAATCTAGACACACAGGATTCCAATGTTTATGTCTTTAGGTGCTACACTACTTATGTAGAAATGGGTCTCGTTCCGCTAGGGACAGCTCTTAGGGAACGCCAGACAGATCCTACTGATGTGGAACCATTCAGGGTGATTCTGATTCTAATAATATGACAAACACTTTGAACTGGAGATGACAAAAATGCAAATGTCATCTTCTGCTTTGATTAAAACTAAGAAGAATGGCCAACTCAGAACTTATTAGAATCTGTTATAAGACATTCAGGCTTTGATGATTTAGCTTTGATCACTTAACTGGAGAGAAAATCAAACCCCACTGGGTAGGGACTTACTTTACTAACTTAAGTCAGAAATGAAAGGTCTTAACTCATCCTTTGAAATTAAGGGGAAGACTTAGTCTACATGAATGAATATACACAGATATACTCACAACAGAGTAAGAAGTGGTATAAAGGGAATCTGTCTCATAACTCATATTGGAGTACCAAATCTCTCTTTAGGAGGAGCACTATCCATGGAGGAATTTTATAGCATGCTCCTAGGCATGACTGTCAAGTTCAGCTTCAGATTAGATACCGTATGTTATTTCTGAAACATGCATCAATGCTACTTAAATCCTTAGTGCCATTCAGTATTCACTAAAGGTTCCACAGGGTCTGAAAAGAAATATTTGCAGTGACAATCTATTAGCTCTTTACTTATAACAGAATAAATAAAACAGTGAGCCTATCCATTACAAGATATAACATGTTCAGTGTTCATAAATCTTACTCTGTTGACTCTTCAAAAGGTACCAAAACTGATTCCACAGAAGTAGCAGGTAGATGGAATTTTACATATTGCATATCAGAATTTTAAAAGTTTTTCTAAAAACTTTAAATGATTCTTATATTTAGGCAGAGAAAACTGCAAATATACACACATTTACTTGAAGAGAAACCAATGCTTACTCTACAAAAGTACTGACATTCAATAGTACCCATCTACCTCCACCTTCTAATTCTACCTGATCACCCTTGCTTAGGTGTGTTTCCAAACTGATTTTTATTCACTTTTGAGATTCTCACAATGATAGTCTTTTTTTTTTTTGCAGTTTGGCCTGGGGCTGGGCTTGAACCC